AAATATAGAATTTGAATAATAGGTAACTGATGGCAATAAGGGAAGTAATGGAAAAGTTGGTGGCAGTGACATTAACATTTACACACCCTGTAATACATTATATTTAGTAAATCAGGTTAGTCCTTGTACTTAACTCACAATTCATTGATTAACTCTTCCTAACATTTTTACGGCCATCAATTCTATGTGAAATATACTGTTTGGATATACATTGTAATATTTAAAAATATGCACTTGAATATGAATCTGAACACCTTAACAAATTATATCAATTATAGCTGACAGTCTAGAAATGATATATAAACCAAAGCTAACACTTATGCCTGAAACTTCTTTTTATTTCTTATCTGACTTCCAATTTCTTACATTTTAAAACTTGTTTTTGTATTTAAAACAACAGGGGCAACTGAACTTCACTTTCAAACAATATTTATTTTTATAAATCAGTGCAAAATATACTTATTGAAAATACATCTTGGGTCCAAAGCTTCAAAGGGTAAAAAGGAAGATTTTAAATTATATCTAATATATTACGATTGTTCTGTCTTTTAAAACCCTTTTCAGATCACCCCCTGGATGTTTCTTCCCTAGAAGTCTCAGAGAATTAACAACACAATGTAATCTAGGTTTAAATTTGGGTTTCTCCTGTGTTTCAGATACTGATGTTTGAGCTTTCTCTTCCTGACAAGCCACTTAAAGAGTCACTGTTACTTTGAGGTTTTATCTATAAGATTCGTGTCTTTTGGGCTCATTAAGAACATTTCCAAAGATTACAATGTCAATAGCACCTAATTACTGGACTGTGAGAAAGGTCTTCTTGAGTACATAAAATCTGTGGCAGTGCACAGTACACAATAGGCAGCTCAGATCCCAAATTTTATCACAAGTAAGTAGCAAACAAATTAATAATGTTACCTGTGCTCTCTTGGATAATTACTACTGCATAAAAACTGCTTTGAAATGTTGCAGATAGTATTGTACCTCATTTTTTAAATCCCCTTAGAGTAACAAGGATTTATTTGTCTCTTAAACTTTCTATGTTGCATGCACCACTCGACTTTCTCGTTCTGTGTAGAATTTTTAGAACTTGCAACATAACAAAAAGTCATTTTCAACCGGTCTAGGAAGGACATATCACCCGATATGACATTGTTTTAAATTAAATTTTATATTTTACTTTACTCTTTTCAAAATATATACTGTATGTTTTGATACTATTGTTAGATTTTATTTTTTACTTATGCCTGGTAGAAAATCAGCTACTACAGAAGCAGAGGAGGCTGGGCACAGTGGCTCATGCCTGTAATCACCAGCACTTTGAAAGGGTATGTATGGCAGCAGGATAGCTTGAGCCCAGGAGTTTGAGACCAGTCTGGGCAACATAGTGAGACCCTGTCTCTACAAAAAGTAAAGAAATTAGCTTGATGTGGTGGTGTGTGCCTGTAGTTCCAGCTACTACTCAGAAGGCTGAGGCAGAAGGATCACCTGGGCCCAGGAGTTTGAGACTGCAGTGAGCTATGACTGAACCACTGCACTCCAGCCTGGATGACAGAGCAATACCCCATCTCAAGAGAGAAAAAAAAAAAAAAAGCAGTAAGAGATGAGCTGTTTTAATTTATTAGCCTACTGTTTAGGGCATCATTACTTTCATGGGGGGATTAAAATATAGATTTGCAAGGCGTTAGCTTGGGATTACACTATGAACAGCTCAAGAGGACAGGCAGAGAGAAGAATTAGCTAGGCATGTCACATATATGATCTCACTTCAACTCATAACAAACCTAAGAGGTGGGGTTGCCATGTCTGTTTTACACAACAGGGAGCACTAAGACGAAGGCACCAGTGAGTAAGTAGTCACCTGAGCTTGGAAGCAGTCTGTCAGCCTCCAAAGCCCAGGTTCTCTCTGTTACACCATGGATTTTCCCCACTGTGTTTTGTTGCAAATGGGATATTTTCCGTGTTGTCATGCATGAATCTTGGGGCAGGTGAAAATAATTGAGTGGAGATTAGCACATACCCTTAGCCTACACTGGATTTGAATCCAGCTGCTCCACTTATTTGCAATATAAACCTACCAGTTTACAAACCTCTCTGTATTCAGTGGTCTTATCTGTAAAATGGGGGAAAGCAAGAGTACCTACCTCATAGGGTTTTTGTGAGGATTAAAGTAAAAATGTGAAAGGCATTTAGAATATTACGTATATTCACTGAATGCTAGTTACATGTAATTTCACAAAGTGTTTTGTGGTGTGAAAGTATAGCCTAAGAAGCTCAACCTTTGATGCCAACACTGAGGATTCTGTAACAGAAAGGATAATGTTCCATAGGATATTTTAAATATTCCTATCCTATTTACATATTTAAAAATGGAATGCATTTTAACTTTAAAGTGTTCAGTTTGGGATCTGTTACCAAACAGGTTATAGTAACCCCTTATATTTTATGTACCTGTATTAGTCCATTCTCACACTGCTATAAAGAACTACCTGAGACTGGCTAACTCATGGAGAAAAGAGGTTTAATTAACTTAGTTTCACAGGCTTAACAGGAAGCATGGCTAGGAGGCCTCAGGAAACTTACAATCATGGCAGAAGGGGAAGTAAGCACATCTTACAATGGAGGAACAGGAGAGAGAGAGAGACAGCGAAGTGCCACACACTTTTAAACCATCAGATCTCATGAGAACTTACTATCATAAGAACAGCATGGGGGAAATCAGCCCCCATAATCCAATCACCTCCCACCAGGCCCATTCTCCAATTCGATATGAGATTTGGGCAGAGACACAAATCCAAACCATATCAATACCTAATACCTGTTTAATAGATATTTTTGAATTAGTGCTTGAAAGCATTAATAATGTATTAAACTATTTCCTGGGAGTCTGAAGAGGGTACTCAACCTTGTAAAGTACTTTGGGAGCTTGGAATAACTTGTTTGGTGAAGATTAGCAATAAATCTAGGCTAATTTGGCCCTTTTATTAGCAATAATCACACCTCAGATAAACCTTATTGGCTGCAATATCGCCACTGCGCAAAGCTATTTTGGTCCTTTAAATGTCCAGCCTGAAAGCCATCTGCAAAGCATTACCACTAAAGATCATGCTTTCTAAAGAGAAGATTCGTTTACTCCCCAAATTAGAAAATCAGTAATTCAGCTTTCCTCTTAACATTCATTTAGTTGTTTTTATTCAGTAAAAATAGGAAATTTATTTCTAGTAAATTTTGGATTAACTGGAACCAATTAATAAGAAATTTTTGTTAACTGGATTATTTCCCAAAATTATCTTCAGAGGGAAGAACATTACATGTCAAAGCTGTATCTGAGATTGAATAGGAGGAAATTTCATGGTTATGTCCACAGGCTTCTGGTGTGAGCATTTTATCTTATGCCTCCTCTATAATGCTGATTAATATTCAGAATGATGAGCCTTATAGTACACTGTAAAATTATGGATCATAAAACATTTATATTCAATTTTATTAGTAAGGCAAAAAAGTGAGCTAACAGATTTTAGGAGGATTTTCAGTAGACAGAGCAGCAGTAACTCTACATTTTGCTTTTTCAGGGCTTAGAAAAGGGAGTGACAGTGTTTGTTTCAGTGGGGCTGCCTTATGTGTCATGTGGCCATCAAAATTTATTTGTGTCACTTCAAGGGGACCTTTGCAAAATGGTTTTCTTGGCTAGGGAAAGTCAGTTTTCAATGCAAAATCCTCAATTGAATTTTTAGGGAATGGAATTCTATGGATAATTAAACTTCCTAACTAAAATTGCAGGCCATAAGTGAATTAATATAGAAGTAGAAAACCAAACACCACATGTTCTCACTTATAAGAGCTAAACATTGAGTACACAGGGACATAAAGATGGGAATAACAGACACCAGGGTCTCCAAAAGGAGGGAGGGAGGGAGGCAAGGGTGGAAAAACTTCCTATTCCATACAACTAATTACTAGTTCACCAACTGGGTGATGAATTCCATCAAAGCCCAAACCTCAGCATCATGCAATACATCTATACAGCAAATCTGCACATGTACCCCTGGAATCTAAAGTTAAAAAAAAATTTCAAGCCAACTAAATTCATTAATCCATATGTTTACATAAAATGTGAGTACATTAAGATGCTTTAGAAATAATTTCAGCCTGGGCAACATGACAAAACCTCATCTCTAAAAAAGCCAACCAATCAACCAAGCAAACAAAAATCAGCTGGGCATGGTGGTACGCACCTGTTGTCCCAACTACTCAGGAGGGTGAGACAGCCAGGTTGCCCAGGCTGGTTTAAAGCTCCTGGACTCAAGCATCCCAAAGTGCTGGGATTACAGGTGTGAGCCACCAGGCCCAGTCTACTCTTGTTGTAATTATTAAGTTGGAAAAAAATAGGAATTTAACAGGAGCTTCAGGTTTGTTGGCAGTTTAATTTTAAAAAAGAAATGACATTCCAACTGAGGCAGTTTCTGGTTTTGAAGTAAAACTATTTTTTTGGTTTGTTTTTTTTTAATTTAAAGACAGGGTCTCACTCTGTCACCCAGGCTGGAGTACAGTGGCATGATCTTGGCTCACTGCAGCCTTGAACTCCTGGGCTCAAGCAAATCCTCAGCCTCCTGAGTAGCTGGGACTACAGGTGCATGCCACCAAGCCTGGCTAATTTCTTTTTTTTTTTTTTGTAGAGGTAGAGTCTTATATGTTGCCTAGGCTGATCTCAAACTCCTGGTTTCAAGTGATCCTCCCTCAGCCTCCAAAAGTGCTAGGATTACAGGCAAGAGCCATTGGGCGTTGCATAGATTGATTTTCAATTAGCAGTGATCAGTAGTCAGAAGTATATATTAGTATTCTTTTATTCAGTTTATCTGTGCAATAATTTTATAAATTGGCTGAAAAAAGTCATGCATTCGCCCAGAATACCAAATACCTCAGGGTACAAAAGAAAAGCAAAGTTAATCTAGACTAAGTAGCCATTCTGGTGTGAACCTCATTTCCAACAAAAAGATTCTTACCTTTTGGTGAAAGTTGAAGGGATGCCTGATCACTGACTACATCCACATGCTTACTGTCTATCTGTAAGTGAACCAAAAATTTTCATTACTTAAGTTGAATAATATTAACTCAGTAAATATTTAAGAGAGAGAAATAGGCTACTTACTGAAGATGTACAATGACTTGAAGAGGATGTACCTGTTATGGTTGTTCTAGATTGCACTAATAAGGGTTTTACTTTCTGAAAGACACAAAAGATATGTACTGTGTTATCAGGAGGAAATAATAGTCAAATCAAACGGACGTTAATGTTCTCCAGCCTTTAGTTGATCAAGATATGGAAACTATGCTTGTCACTTATTTGCTCAAATATGGCTGGGGAAATCCTTTTCTTTATTCCAATGGGATAGAGTCTCTTTCTTCTTCAGCCCACACTGAAAGAAAATTTAAGAAAACTATTTTCCTTAGTATCTCTTCTGACTCTACTTCCTTTTGGTTGTCCCTACAATTGAGACTTACTACTTGCAACTATTTGGAAGCCACAAAGGCGTCCCCACCATCTCCTAGTTACTAGAAGCTACAGCAATGGTGTCCTGGTTCCCAAGTTAAAGAAAAGTTTCCTGAAATTAAAGGAAGCACACACTTCTAGAAATGATGTATTATGAGATCTAGATGAAAATCTCCTTAAGCCTTTTGGCTGGCACAATGGAGTATAAGAATATATGGATTCAAGGAAATGTAGACAGATGACTCTGGAAATGAAAAGGCTGAAATGAAATGCAAAGGACTTTTGGATGTGGTATGTAAAGATTACTTGTGAATAAAACACAGACATAGAACTTAAGTCCAAATAAGACTTTCATTTCTTATATTTTTCAGTGTTGCTGTAAGCTGATGAAAAACGCAGGGTCCAGGCATGGTGGCTCACACCTGCAATCCCAGCATTTTGGGAGGTCGAGGTGGGAGGATCGCTTGAGTCCAGGAGTTTGAGACCAGCCTGGGTAACAGGGCAAAACCTCGTCTCTACAAAAACTACAAAAGTTAGCCAGGTGTGGTGGCACATGCCTGTAGTCCCAGTTACTTGAGGGGGCTGAGGCGGGAGAATGACTTGAACCCAGGAGGTCAAGGCTGCAGTGAGCAGTGATTGTGCCACTGCACTCTAGCCTGGGTGAAAGAGTAAGACCTTGTCTCAAAAATAAATAAATAAATAAATAAAGCAAGCAGGCAAGCAGGAATACTCAGGTCCTAGACCAAGAGAAGATGGAAACGCAGGACTTCCACCCTGGAGCTCTCATTCACTTTGAGGGCATTTGCCAAACTTCCTGAATATGTGCATGAGTTGTCAAAAGTTCCTATGACTTGGGAGGACAGGATACAACTCAGGGTTCACCTAAGGTGTGGAATTTAACAAGACACTCCCACCCCACTGTACGTGTGGGACTGTAATGCTATAACCAGAGTAAAGGTAAAATACTACCTCAAGTGAGGCTCCCCCAAGAAGTTTGCAAGGAAAATGCCTGCTTCTAAGGTTGGCAACTAGTTGAATACCATTAAAAAAAAACCCTCCTTTGCTGGGCGCAGTGGCTCATGCCTGTAATCCCAGCACTTTGGGAGGCCAAGGCAGGCGGATCACGAGGTCAAGAGATTGAGATCATCCTGGCTAACACAGTGAAACCCCATCTCTACTAAAAATACAAAAAATTAGCCCGGCGTGGTGGAGGGTACTTGTAGTCCCTGCTACTCTGGAGGCTGAGGCAGGTGAATGGTGTGAACCCATGAGGTGGAGCTTGCAGTGAGCGGAGATTACACCACTGCACTCCAGCCAGGGCGACAGAGCGAGACTCTGTCTCAAAAAAAACAAACAAACAAACAAAAAAAAAAAACAAAAAAAACCACACACACACAAAAAAACAAACAAACAAAAAACACCCTCCTGTGAATTCCTAACCATTACTAGCCCATGCCATTTGCCAGCTGAATTCACAAGGTGGTCTGAAAAGTAATATGCTAAAAAAATTAATTTAACTAATTCCAGAATAATGGTGTTCATGGCAATGGAAAGAAGCACATTTAAACCTTTTATAGAAAAATTCCTCTTCAGCCGAGTCCTCAGAGAATTTTTATAAATAAGGTTCCAAGGAAAGTGAGCAGTTCATTGTCAAAAATCTGTATATACATCATGAGTAGTTGCTAGCATAAACAAGATAGTAGAACCAGAGTCTCTAAAACTTCAAATATAGAAATTCTCAGTCATAGAATATAAAATAAGTATGTTTAATATGTTTCAAGAAATAAAACATAGAAGCTTGATGATGAATAATTTGTTTGCATATTTAAAAAAGCAAACAAAATTTATTTCTATTTTTTAGAAAAATTATAAATAATTGAAATGAAAGTCAAGAGGCCAATTTTAGCAGAAAAATTATACATCTGTGAAAATAATAATAAACTGAAAGAGAGAATGAAACATATTATCAAGGATGCAACTCAGAGAGACAAAGTGATGTCAAATATAAAGGCTAAGCAATAGCAATACGAAGGATAGAGGGAAAAGGTAAAACCTCATTTGGTCAGAGTAGAAGACAGAAAAGAATAGGAGTATGGCAAAATATAGAGTTAAGAACTGAACACTTTCCAGAACTGATGAAACAAACTGACCTCAACTTTCAAGAATCCTGATAAATTTCAAACAGAATAAACAAAAAGCAATTCACAACTAGACACATCATAGTAAAAATGCAGAACACTGAAGAAAGAGACCTTAAAAGCAGCTAAAGACGAGAGACAGATTAATGTTAAGAAAGTCACAGTTAAAGAGAAAGCAACATTCCAATGCTAACAATGTGTATTAGTCTGTTCTCATGTTGCTGATAAAGACATACCGGAGACTTTACAAAAGAAAGAGGTTTAATTGGACTTACAGTTCCACGTGGCTGCGAAAGTCTCACAATCATGGTGGAAGGCAAGGAGGAAGCAAGTCACAGCTTATGTGGAAGGCGGCAGGCAAAGAGGCGCGCTCGTGCAGGGAAATCCCCTTTATATAACCTTCAGATCTTGTGAGACTTATTCACTATCACGAGAACAGCACGGGAAGACCCGCCCCATGACTGAATTACCTCCCGCTGGGTCCCACCCATAACACACGGAAAGTCAGGAAGAGATTTGGGGCCGGGCATGGTGGCTCACGCCTGCAATCCCAGCACTTTGGGAGTCTGAGGCAGGCGATTCACGAGGTCAGGAGATTCAGACCATCCTGGACAACATGGTGAAACCCCATCTCTACTAAAAACACAAAAATTAGCTGGGCGTAGTGGCAAGTGCCTGTAATCCCAGCTACTCAGGACGTGAGGTAAGAGAATCACTTGAACCCGGGAGGCAGAGGTTGCAGTGAGCCGAGATCGTGCCATTGCACTCCAGCCTGGTCGACAAGAGCGGAACTCCATCTCAAAAAAAAAAAAAAAAAAAAAAAAAAAAGATGAGATTTGGGTGGGGATACAACCAAACCATACCACAATGGAATCTAGAAGACAGTGGAATGGTATGTTCAATGTGCAAAGAGAAAGTATCATAAATCTAGAATTTTACACCTAGAGAAAATATCTTTCAATAACGGGCAAAAACAAAGACATTTTCTGTCAAGTGATAACTGAAAGTGTTGGCCTCCAGCAGATCCCCACTAAAGAAAATTCTAGGCCAGGCACAGTGGCTTATGCCTGTAATCCCAGCACTTTGGGAGGCCCAGGCGGGCAGATCACCTGAGGTCAGGAGTTTGAGACCATCCTAGCCAACATGGTGAAACCCTGTCTCTATTAAGAATACAAAAATTAGCCAGGAGTGGTGGCAGGCACCTGTAGTCCCAGCTACTCGGGAGGCTGAGGCAGGAAAATTGCTTGAACCCGGGAGGCAGAGGTTGCTGTAAGCCAAGATTGCGCCACTGCACTCCAGCCTGGGTGACAGAGCGAGACTCCATCTCAAAAAAAAAAGAAACTTCTAATGCATGCACTTCATGTAGAAGGAAAGTGATCTCAGATGGAGGGTCTAAGATGTAAGAAGGTATTGCAAATAAAGTGGTAAATATGTAAGTAAAGCTAAACAAATATTAATCAAATGCACCAATAATAATAATGTGCTATGAAGATTAAGAAAACAAGGTAGAGTTAAAATAGAAGACAACAGCATTATATACTGACAGAGAGTGGTAGTTGAAATTTAATTGCCCAAAGAACTTTTATTGTTCACCACTGTAAACACATAGAGGTAATTTCAACTTTCTTGATAGAAACAAGAGTTTAGAAATTAAAAAAAAAAAAAATGAGAAAAAAAATAACCAATTCAAAAAATGTAAAGAAGGAGAAAAATATATACAAAATAGAGACAAATATAAAACATAAAATAACAAGGTATAATTAAAGCCAAATGTATTTGTGATTACAATAAAATTAAATGGACTAAATGCCCCAGTTAAAAGACAAAGATTGTCCAACTAGATTAAGAACAAAGTTTAAAACTAGCTGTATGCTGTATAAAAGAGTCATATCCAAAGCAGAAGCATACAAAAGGCTGAAAGATATGCCAAGAAAATAATAACCTATCGAAAGTGCAGGTAGCTCTAGTAATATAAAGCCAAAACAGACTTTAAGGCAAAAAGCATTTGTAGCGATAAAGTTTGTCATTACATAATGGTAAAATGTTCAATTTACCACGAAGATACGATTATAAAATAGTAAGCATCTACTAATACAGACTAAAATTACATAAAGCAAAAACTGATTACAAACAACTTAGAGTAATATGCAAATCGTCTAAATATAATAGCATAAAAATACAAGGTACCTAAGATTACATCTAAAAAAAGGTACTTTCAAGACTTCTATAGAGTTATAAAACTCTATTGAAATAATACCTAAACCAAATATATAACATATTTACAGATTAGAAGACTCAATGATAGAGATGCCAATTGTGCCTAAATTGAACTGTAGATTTAACAGAATTCTAATTGAAATACCAATAAAATTTGTTTTGTTTTGTTTCTTTTGTTTTGTTTTGTTTTTCTGTGAATATTGACAATCTGATTCTAAAATTTACATGGAAATGCAAAGATCCAATAAAGCTGAGGCACTCTTGCAAAACAGAGCAGAGGCGTTAGCCTTATCAGATAAGATTTAGATATTAAATCAGTGTTATATTGGTGCAGGAAAAAAAAACAGTGAAACAGATAGAGTCAGAATAGACTCATAT